GGCCGGCTGCTGCCATGGCGAGCTGGACAAGATCTACGAGACTCTGGCGCTGGCGGAGCGGCGCGGCCCGGGACCGGTGGATCTCCTCCTGTGCTGCGGCGACTTCCAGGCGGTGCGCAACGAGGCCGACCTGCGCTGCATGGCCGTGCCGCCCAAGTACCGCCAAATGCAGACCTTCTACAGGTGAGGGGCGCGCGGCGTGGCCCCGGAGCCCTCGGGGTGCGCCTTGGGCGGCCAGCAGGGCGGGCCTCGCGGGAGGTTCCTCCTGCCGCTGACCCCGTGCCTGTAGGACCTGGCACTTAGGAAATGTCCCTGTCCTTTCTATAGACATCTGCCACTTCCTCCCAGGAACCGGGGAGACGCCAGCAGTTTTAGATGCCTACTTTGTAATTGCTAGAACTCTAGGATTAGTTAACTTAGTGATCCAGCATTTTACTGGACCTGCTTGCTGTGTGCTAGTCTGGGATCTAGAAGCTCCGGACTATAGCCGTGCACTTCACAGAGTTCTTGACCTCAATGAATGTGTGACTGGCTTGAGCTCAAGATTTCATTCATTCGCAGGGACAGGGATGGATGGATACTGGGTGGCGTTTGATCGTTTTTGAGCTCGTCTTTTTCTTTCAGACCCTCCTTTGCTTTTTCTGCTGTGACTAGTTTGACTCCTGACAACTTTATTCCCTTATGCTGTAGATATTACTCAGGAGAGAAAAAGGCCCCGGTTCTCACAATCTTCATTGGAGGAAATCATGAAGCCTCAAATCATTTGCAAGAGTTACCCTATGGTGGCTGGGTAGCACCAAATATTTACTATTTAGGTATGTATTTATGTACACTTTGTCTTGTCAGAATTTGTACAGATTGGGCAGCATCTAGAAGATACAGGGTTTTGGGAGATGCCATTAACTTAATCATGAGAATTGAGTTAAATAGTTATTCAATGGCCAGTCATGAACATACATCCGTCCTTCTAGCGGTTTAAATAATAGTGCGATTACAAAAGTCTGGTTTTTTCATGCTGAATTTTATTTTATAATGGAAATGTTAAACATACAGAAAAATACCAAGTAGTATAGTAAATTTTGCTTACTTGTTAACTTTGACAACTATTACTGTTATACCCCATATTCAAATATTCGGTGTTGTTTAAACTTTTCCTTTGGGAGATGACTGGAATAACTTATAGCAAATCCTGCTCACTAGATTACTTCTTTTGTATATCTTTAAGCACATGATTTTTGAGTGATTTTTAAAAAAAAAACACATGTAGCACCATTTTATAACAAACTGAAGTAAGTTATTCATTATTATCTTTTGCCTTGTTCCTACTCTAATTTCTCTGCATGTCTTAAGTTACCAACTCTACAAATGACTTGGTTTGGGTAGAGTCCAAATATTTGGTCTTCAGGTCTCTGTCTCTTAGCCTTCAGTGAGTCTTTTTCTCTTTCTCTCCCTTTTTTCCCATGTGGTTTATTTGTTGTAGAAAATGATTATCTTGTAGCATTTCCTGAATTCTGGATTTAGCTGATTGGATTCCTTATGTTGTCATTTGAAATGTTTCTTTTATTCTCTACATTTTTCATCTTTTAAAGTTTGCAATCCTTTCATTTCTTTACTTAAATGTAGATTGTTCCTAGAGTAATTTTCAGGCTTTTCCAGTGATGAAATCATAACTTCAGGACTTTTGTTTCCCTATTTTATTATTGACTTATCATCTTCAAACAACCTCAGTATTATGAAAAGATGAAGTTGGGCCAGGCACGGTGCTACGTGCTTTTCACTCCAGCACTCTGATGGTAGAAGCAGGCAGACCTCTAGGAGTTTGATGCCAGCATCAAACGTAGTGAGTTCCAGGCCACCCACAGCGACATTGTGTGACTTGTCTCAAACAAAAAGAAAAGGTTAAATTGCTAGAGGAGTCAAAAATGAAATGTAGAAACTGCATGTTCTTTATTACCTTTGACTTGATTCCTACGGTGTAATTTCTCCACAGCACATTTTTCTTCCTCTCTCCAGTTCCTGCCATCTCCTGCATGTTCAACGAGGTACCACGGTGTTTCTGTTTGATTTGAATACCAGACCTCATTCATCCTTTTAGAATCCATTTGGTCTTCTTGGCTGATTGACTCCAGGCTTTCTCTGCCTCATGTGTCATCAGCATATTAGTGATATATGAAGAGTAACCTTATGACAAATGTTTTCTAATAGTTTGAGGACTGCATAGATCCCAGACTTATAAATGGTTTATTCTCTTAGTAGATTTCGTTTTGCCTATAACATTTTACTGAATTGCATAATTTTTCAGGTTTGGCTGGAGTAGTAAAATACCGAGGTATAAGGATTGGTGGGATCTCAGGCATCTTTAAATCTCATGACTATCGAAAAGGTATTGTTTTGAGTGAATGACTTTTATTTTTTAGAGCTTGCATGCTCTAGAGTAAAATTAGCAAAATTTATAGTTTGACTTATTCATCAGATTTCTTAGATAAATGATACTATTCTTTTTATTATAAGAATTTTATTCACATAAAATGTAGATACTATATAGCGTATCTGTGTGTTCGTGATCTAGTTTTATCAGTTCAGTATTTTCCAATTTTAATTTTGATTTTTTTAAGAAATACAACAGTATAGGTATAACTGAAGTTCATTGTTGACCGGCCTATCATATTCTTCTCTTTCCCCCTTCCCATAGCCAGGGAATTGCTGTTTCCAATTGGGTGTTACTATTTCATGTCACTACTGAGTATCCAGGAGTTTTAATGTGTTGAACAGTGTGTTTTACACTTCCATCTTTTTGCAGCTTGTTTCCTGGTTTAATTTTTTTCCTGTTTTTATTATTATTAATTACATTTTTGTTGTAGGAATTTAGTAGAGGCACTGTATCTGGGGTAGATTTTAGAGTGAACGGCTGTTTTTTAGAAGTACTTTGACCTTGAAGAATTCTTATGGAAAACAGGGCTTGTTTTGCTGAAGGGGCATTACAGCCATTCCATGACTTTGGTCACAAGATGCTTCAGGCCCACCTAAGACTCTTTATTGTGTATTACAAACAATACAAAATAAAGGACTAGAGTCATGGAGACAAGTGATGCCCTCCGTTAGTAAGACATGTAAATTAGATTAGGGACCGTGGTATGAGCAAATACTTTGTGTAACAATCAGTAAATACGCTCTTATACGGCTGTTCAGTTTGTGTGGTTCAGTTCATCAGAGAGGCTGGGCCTTCCTGCTGCCACATAAGCCCTAACATTTCATCTTGGAGTGCCTTCTTTCCCCCACTGACCCATGCCACAAGGTACACCCGACAAAATTTTTTCATTTATTTTACATTCCACCCAGTTTCCCCTCCTCTCCTCCTGTTCCCCCACCATCCACTCCTCTGTCTGTCAGAAAGGGCAGGCCTCCCATGGGTGTCAGCAATGCATGGCTTATGGACTTGAAGGAGGACTACACACCCTCCTCCCTTTGTATTAGGGCTGGGAGAGGCAACCCAGTATGAGGAATAGGTTCTCAAAAGCCAGCTCAAGCGTTAGGGTCAGGCCCTGATCCCACTGCTAGGAGTTCCACAGATAGACCAATTCACAACTGTCACCCACATATGCAGAGGGCCTAGGACCAGGGTTAACATGTTTTTGAAATCCATGTCTTTAATCTGTTCATTTGTGGATAGTTCATTTTTTAGACACATCACAATGTACATACCACTGTATCTAACTGATTTTTAGTTAGAGCAGTGGCTTAGAACCATACAGTTCCACAAATTTCATAAATTAAATTGGCAATTAAAAGGTACACATTTAATGTAACTGGTAATTGCAAGTCTATTTGCTTCGCCCCTCTGCTCTTTATGGTTCTAAACCATTGACATGGACTGCAAAGATGGGCTTTTTGTTACTAGTCCATATGAATATAAATTTGGAATCCCTTTTGGAAAGACAATGGTAATACAGTTTATTTCTCTTCAATTTAAGGTCATTTTGAATGTCCCCCTTATAATTCATCTACCATAAGGAGTATATATCACGTGAGAAATATAGAGGTCTACAAATTAAAACAGGTATGTACAAAGTACATAAGAGTAGACTAATTTTGTACCAAAATGTGTTTGATTGGGCTTGCAACATTTAAGAATAGCAATTCAGTATTTCTAAAATTCAGAGTTTGAATAGTTTTTAGGAGGCTCACAGGTGAACAAATTTTAATTTTTAATGGTTAAAAGTTTATTTAGCAAGCAGTTGTAAAATATTTATGGTTTCATATATTAAGAATAAAGTATATATGCTAAAATAAAATAATACTTTTAAATAAATATTTTAGCCCAGTGTGGTGGTACACACCTAGTCCCGTCCTCTAGCAGGCTGAGGCAAGAAGATTGTGAAGTTGAGGTTAGCTTGGGTTACAAAGTAGAATCTTATCTCGGAAGAGAAAACAAAATTTTATATTACTAAGTTTTAGTATTAGATAAAAACCACTAAATAATATTAAATAGAAAACAGCTAATGAGGAAGATGATAGAGTATATGACAAATTGTGAAGATGGTATCAGAATACTGACTTAAATGATGAATGGGTGAAACTGAGTTTTTGAGACCCACTACAGGGGTGATACTGGGCTGAGCAGTGTTCACACGTGGCATTTCATATAATCTTGATCAAGTTTGGTGAGATAGCTCCCCCTCTGCCTTACCTAATTAGGAATACCAAGTCAAGGTGTAGCTTGACAAGAACCCTACCCAGGACCTCGCTTGTATTTATAGTAGAGCCTGTCTCAGTGTTCATGTCCTGCTCTGTCCCTAGAGCTGCAGTACTCGCAGGCCTTTCCTGTGATCTGTTTTACTTCTCTTGGATGCTTTTCCTTTCATGAGTGTGATCTACTTACCCCTTAAAGCCAACTGGATGCTACTTTCTGACCACGTTTCTCTAGTTGAGAGCCATCACTCTTCTTCAGTTCTCCCTATCTGTTCAGTGGCTGGTATATCTGACCTACGTTATATTGTCTTAAATAGTTATTGTTTCAATTTCGTTTTCCAAGTACTTGTTTCTTATTACTTGATAGTGCTGAAGAGTAAGAAGAGTGTAGAACATTTTTGTCAAGGGGAGTGCTAACCTCTCCTTTCATACAACATTAGAACATATTTTTGTAAGCAACTCTAGATAATAAATGGCAGAGGGAGAACTTTTAGTTGGTGCTATGTGAATACATTAGAGAAAAAATTGATGGTAGTCTAGGGGTCTCTACTGAAGGCTGACCATGCAAACACTGTGCCACCCATCCATATTCCCATCTCCTAGTTTTTTCCTGTAAAGTTTTTGGGTTTACTGTATTAATTACATTAGAAGTCTTATTAAGTCTGTTTTCTATAGCTCTTCAAAATTATAATTTCTTTTTTCTTTTTGTTTTTGGTTTTTCAAGACGGTTTCTCTGTATTATTTTGGAGCCTTTCCTGGAACTTGGTTGGTAGACCAGGCTGGTCTCGAACTCACAGAGATCTGCCTGCCTCTGCTTCCTGAGTGCTGGGATTAAAGGCATGCGGCACCACTGCCTGGCCAAAATTATAATTTCTTAACCAGGGCAAAGGAACCATGGTTATTATATATTTTAGGAATCTGGCACGGCAGGACTGGGCCAATTGGCAGTAAAGTGTCTCTGCTGCCCTGCCTTTGCTACAGAAAGTAGGGTAATTTCTGAAGCACAGAAAAGGCTGATTCTCCTTGTCTAGGCAAATGAGGAGTTTAGTATTTTTATTATTTCCTTAAAGTGTCCTTCGGATGAATTACCACAGAAAGCTAGATTATCAGTCTACAAGAGCGGGTGCATGGTGTAGAGAGGGAGGGATTGTTTTTGGTTAGTCTATTTTTAAGGATTTTCTTTCTGTTCTTCAAGTTGAAGCAGCCTGTAGATATATTCTTATCTCATGACTGGCCAAGAAGTATATATCATTATGGAAATAAGAAGCAACTTCTTAAGACCAAATCTTTTTTCCGCCAAGAAGTGGAAAATAACACGCTAGGGAGTCCTGCCGCCTCGGAGCTGTTGGAGCACCTAAAGCCCGCCTACTGGTTTTCTGCACACCTTCATGTGAAATTTGCAGCGTTGATGCAGCATCAGGTAGGACAGAAAATATAGGCCCTTAGCTTTAATGAACACTTACTAAACATCCATGAACTGGACACTGTGGGCACAGTGGTACAGCCAGAGGCTGAAACACAGCTCGCCCCTGAGGAGTTGCTCACTGGGGAAGAAATGAGCAAGCAGGGGGATTGTGGTAGGAAAAGGTTGAGGTCATTGAGGGCACCCAAGGCAGACTGCTGGGGTCAGACTGGTCTACTGATGGGGAAGGAGTTTGCAAAGGACTGTATGTATGAGCTGGACCTGGAGATGTCAGGAGGAGATAGAGCCTATGAGTGTTTTAACAGAGGGACCAACATGTTCAAAGACTTAAAGGTCTGAGAGCACAGTGCACTTGGTACTGGCTCCCATCCCTGAGGCTTAGGGATAGATACATCCTGAACAGAATCAGAACTTCTTTCTGGGCAGAGCTAGGGCACTTAGTCCTTTAGAGTAAGTTCAAATTAAAAAGGGCCTTAGGGATATTTTCAAATAAAACTGTTTCAGAAACAGTAGTACTTTTAATGTAGAGAAAGGTTTGGTCTAGTGGCTTTGGGAAGCACCACATGTCACAGCCATTCCAGAAAGATGGTGCTCAGTGGGCCTTTAGACCTCTGAGAAGGGCTACAGGAGACCTTGCAGGATCTCCAGCTGTTAACCTGCATTTTCTAGGTCGTTTCCCTATGGAGCATTTGATGATAAAGTAAGAGTTTGGGTATTAGCTAGAAGGTGATGGGACAGTTGGAGACTGATGGAACCAGGTGGTTGTTCTAGAAAGACTAATTGGCAGGTATGTGTGTACAATGGAGTGATATCAACAGAGACAAAGTACTGCTTAGCAAAAAAGGAGGTTCTGACCTAAGGCGAAGAGCACAGAGAATGAAGCAGAGTCTAGAGAGATTTGGGGGGGCAGAGTAATAAGGATTTGGTGAGAAAGCAGGAGTACAGGATGACTACCAGAGGCGGTTTTTTTTTTTTTTTTTTTTTTTTTGGTGGGGGTTGGGGAACGTTGGAAATCACTTAGAAAAAGAAGCAAGGTTAGCAGTTGGAGATTTCTTGAAGTCTTATATAGAATGTTTCAGAGTCTTTAGTGCTTTAATGAGCACTTTCTAGAGAGGAATTGATATGTAGTGCTTCCCAAACTACTTTCCTACTTTTACAACATTGCTGAGATTGTATCTGAGAATACTCCCAAAACACTTTCTGCTGTGGTCTTATTCCAGAAGGGCAAAAGTTACATCTTCATTTTGTCTAGCCACTCAGGGACCATGTTTGCTTGACATCCAAGGAAACCTGCAGACACTGCTCACCTTTGCACATGTAGATCAAACTGACCTGACCTGTGTCACCAGACCCAGCTGACTCTTGAGCTTTTGGGGATTTTGTGTGTGTGTGTGTGTGTGTGTGTGTGTGTTGTTTTGTTGTTTGTTTGAGACAGGGTTTCACTGTGTGGCTCTGGCTGTCCTGAAACTCTCTGTAGACCAGGCTGGCCTCTGACTCACAGAGATCCGCCTGCCTCTGTCTCCCAAGTGCTGGGATTAAAGGTGTGCGTCACCACCTGGCTCACAGACCAGTCTGACAACATGTCCATCTTGCCCCAGAATCTTTATGTCTATTTGTGATGAACTTTGCATCCTTAGTTGTAGATGACTGATTTGCACTGTGTCTCTTCTGAATAATTCCTGTAAAAAGAATTATAAAGGACAAGTTTTTAACAACTAGTTTCTTTCATTTGTTTGTTTTTGTGAGTTACTCGTGTGACACACGTCAGTATCTGACATCATTTTCGTTATCAGTGTTTGTTTTGAGTTTTGGCAGAAATGGCAGTCAATAATGGTTTCCCTTCCTTTCCCTTCTCCTCCCCTCTCCTTCCCTCCCCTTCCTCTCTCTCTCCCTCCCTCCCTTGTTTACTTGTTAGTCATTCTTCTGACACAGAATTAGAAGCATGTAAGAAATGTTATTTTTGCTCTATTCAATGTGTGAATTACTTGTGATGTTTTAACATTCTTACATCATGGTTTGTGTTCTATAGGCCACAGATGAAGAACAAGCAGGCAAAGCAACCAAGTTTTTAGCTTTGGACAAATGCTTACCACACAGAGACTTTCTTCAGGTAATAAAAAAATTAGTAATTTTACAAAAGTTTTACTCTTCCAGTGATTTTTAAAGAGTAGTTTTTACTTCAGAATTTATTTGTTCTATTTATACTTTGTTTCCTGAGCATTTTTTGGTGTTGTTTATGTTAACATTTTAAAATTAACTAGATTTAATTATTAGACTGTTAAGCATAAATGAATTACTAAAATTTCTGATTTTGCCCTTTAGGTGTTAGAAATAGAACATGACCCCAGTGCTCCTGAGTACTTAGAGTATGATGTTGAGTGGCTTACTGTCCTCAGGGCCACTGATGACCTGATTAATGTGACTGGGAACCTTTGGAATATGCCTGAAAATAATGGTCTGCACACAAGGTAGTTCACTTTAGGGCTTGCCTTCTGCACTGTGTACAGTTTTGTCTCTTTACATGTTGTATTCTAATCCCTGGAGTCTGTAGAAAGGAGGGGGTGAAGGGACAATGGTTTTTTGGATTTGAGCATTTGGCAAGCCTCCTGGCATTGCTTGATGACTTAATGCATTTGTGTTGTCTCTAATTTGGTTCTGGCTGGGGGACTTACACCCCCTAGCCCCATTAGGCACTGGCCCTGAGACTCCAGTTTTATACATTGGAGATAGCTACAAATTCTTTTTCAAGGCTGACAAAAGAAAGTGTCTGTTAAGCATCAACCCAAGTAAGTTTTTGAGTCTGTAAACATGCTTCAGACTATAGTATAGTGAAGATTTAGTTCACACACATATATTTGTTTTGAAAGATGAGTAAAATTTTTTTCTTAGGAGCTTATTTTTAAAGATTCTTTGCTTAGTCAAGTTACAATTTTGCCATGTAGGTTTTTAAATTTTTATTTTATGTATATGGATAATTACCCTGCATGAATGTCTATGTACCATGTGTATGCTTGGCACCTATGGAGGGCCAGAAGAGGGAGTCAGATGAAAACTGGAGTTAGTCACCATGGGGGCTATAAGTCACCATGGGGGTGCTGGGAATAGAACATGGATCCTCTGGGAGAGTAACCAGTGTTCTTAACCACTGAGCCATCTCTGCAGCTTTTGTGTGGAATTTCTTAAGGTTTCTTTTTTAATTCTTATACCTGGAGTCCATACGTGGGTTTTATTACTTACTGTTTGAAGGTGATGGCTTGCACAAAAAAATTGCTCTGATTGTTACAGGTGGGATTATAGTGCAACCGAAGAAGCTATGGAAGAAGTGATGGAAAAACTGAACCATGACCCTAAAGTTCCCTGTAACTTCAGCATGACAGCTGCTTGTTATGATCCTAGTAAGCCACAGACACAAGTGCAACTGGTCCACAGGATCAACCCTCAGACCACTGAGTTTTGTGCCCAGCTTGGCATCACGGACATCAATGTCATGCTACAGAAGGTCAAGGAAGAGCGTCGTCTGTGTGGGGAGTATGAACGGCACGGTGACGTGGGGACTGATGACTCTGAAGAAGACCACAGTGAATACAACACAGACACGTCTGCCCTGTCCTCCATTAATCCCGACGAGATAATGCTGGACGAGGAGGAAGAGGAAGAGGAGGAAGCTGTAAGTGCTTGCAGTGACATGAATACACCTTCTGTGGAACCTTCTGATCAAGCTTCTGACCTTTCCACAAGCTTTTCTGACATCAGGAACTTGCCAGGCTCCATGTTTGTGTCCTCTGATGATACATCCCATTCTCCAGCTGGTGGGGAGGGGAAACCTGGTGAGCATGTGGAGTCTGGGGATGAGAAGGACTTAACTGAGTTTCCTCTGAAGAGGCTCAGTAATGAACATGAGCCTGAACAAAGAAAGAAGATTAAGAGGAGGAATCAAGCCATCTATGCTGCGGTAGATGATGACAATGATGAGTAAGACAGGGATTTGTCTTAGTGATGTATGTAGTATGTGAT